TTAAGCATGTACTACTGCATGAATGAATCAACCGTCCGCCATTTCCCAAACTGGGAACAATGTCATAGCATACATTGTTATACGTGTGGGATCGATTAGAGTCTAAATTCCACTAAAAATGAAAACAACACTTTTATAAATCTCATTCGTCGGACGCGCTATTCTAGATATTTGAAAGCTAAAAAAGTATAAAAACCCGAACAGTTAAAGAGCTATACGACCAAAAAGGACCTAAGGTAATAGCCAAATTCATCTAGTGATGTAAGTCAACAATAAATGCAATTCGCCAGATTTTGTCTATCCAAATCTCAAACCAAACTGCATTTTTCTGTTTGTTGGCACTCAACATATAAGAATTATTCCTTTTCATTATCTTATGTAGTTCATATTTTAACAAATCATTACAAAACGCAGATAAACAGTGAGCAAGTTAAAAAAAATCGTAATAAATATCGATGAGTTCTGACAATTTTAGATATCTGAATTTGAATTATTCTTTTTATTCTTTTTCAGAAATTGAGGGTGTTGGAAAAGAAAATCAGAAATCAGTGGAAAATACGGATGACAAATACCTGTGTAAAATATGTTTTGATAATCCAGTAGAAGTCACATTTTTGCCGTGTATGCATGTATGCTGCTGTAAGGACTGTAGCGACAAGTTAAAAGCGAAACAATGTCCAATTTGTAGGAAACGGATCAGACAGAGTAGACCTTTGTATTTTGCTTGAAAAATGATAGCTACGTCTGTTGTTACTGCAGGCAAATATCTGATATAAACATATAGTCATTAATTGATATAATGTGTTATACCATATGCATATATTAAAAACAAATTCTCCTCACAATGAAATAAAGGCGTTATGAGGAGGAATAAATCCAACATAAAACCAATCAAGTAACACCCATGCATCAGTAATGTACCTACTAATCATATTTTTGATAATGAGAATTGAGTTAGACGTGGGTACACATCAAATTGAGTATAGTTCTGAACTTCCATGCTATTTGGTCTCTGGTGGATTGTTGTCTCATGGGCAATCATATCACATCTTATTTTTAGATTAACCATAATTCAAGATGAATGGCTATACTGTTTGGACATTAGTATCGACATACTGTAGAAACTTATATTTTGCTATTTTCACAAGGTCATGCTATCCTTAGACTGTCTAATCCATCTTTAAACTAAATCCACAGCATGAGTAATGATTGAACATTTAGTCTGCGGGAACATTATTCATTAGTTGGAATTATCTTTGAACTAGCCTTCAGTAACTGTGAGTACTCTTAGATTGTTTCTTTGTGTTTGGTGTCTTTTTAATACATGCTTGGTGCCAATCAAATGAGTCAAATAATATTTTTAGTTTGTTTTTATGTTGTACTGTTATACTATTGACCTAATTAATTGGAAGTTGTGCTCAGACTCAAGTTTAACCACGCTACATTCTGATTTTGGTTTTCACTGGTTGAACTGAGCTTATTTGCTTTTTGTTTGTTTGTTGTTTCAGAATAAATGAGTCCGTTGTTTGAACAGACACAAAATAACTAAGTATGTCTGCTTCAGAACTTTAATTATTAAAACATAAAATTCGTAAGGATTCCGCGGAACCCAGTGTCTCGCCTACTTTTGCTGTTGGGAGTGTTGGTTCAACAAAAATGGGGAAAAAATTATTAAAAATTTTCCTCTAGATACTATCTTTTGATTGTAAGAAGCTTCTGTCCAAGTTTGGTAAAAAAATCCAGGATGGTTTTTGAATCTAATAAATGTTTTAAAAACTTTAACTGCAGACTGTATGTAATTTTAACTGGAAGAAAACTAAGTCCATTTATAAGTCATATACGGGAAAACAAGAAATATTTTTTTTCAAAATTTCCTTCTAGATACTAGCTTTTTATCATAAACAAGCTTCTGTCCAAGTTTGGAACAAATCCAGGATAGTTTAAGAAAGTTATTAAAATTTTAAAACTTTAACCACAGAGTGAGTGTAATGTTAACTGGCAGAAACATTAAGTCCATTTATAAGTAAAATACGGATAAACAGGATTTTTTTTTACAAAATTCACTTCTGGATACTATCTTATGATCATATAAAACAAGCTTCTGTCCAAGTTTGGTAGACATCCGGAATAGTTTAAGAAAGTTATTAAAATTTCAAAAACTTTAACCACAGAGTGAATATTTGTGGACGCCACCAACGACGGAATGTAGGATCGCTATGTCTCACTTTTGCGAAAAAAGTCGCAGGCTCAACAATAATCGCAAATGTAATATAAGGTGGCACCAAACACATTGACTAGAATTAATTTTGCTCGTCCAATTTTCATAAATTTAAAAAAAAAAATATCTACTGACCCTTTGACAAAAATTAAAAAAAAATCTTAAACCACATACTTTATCGGAAAGTTTCTTTGGATATATAGTAGTTTGACAAACACTCATTGTTGCTTATTCTTTAGTTTTTTATGTTGTGTCATCTGTACTATTATTTGTCTGTTTGTCCTTTTATTTTTGGCCATGGCGTTGTCAGTTTGTTTTTCGATCTATGAGTTTGACTGCATGTCCCTCTGGTATCTTTCGTCCCTCTTTTGATCATTGAGAAGTTAAATAATTCCTTAACAATAGAACGTGATTAAAACGTTCAGCCGTTTTTACAGAGTTATCTCCCTGTAGTGTTATGTACCACCATAAGACGAAAACAAACTGATAATACCATGGCAAAAAAACGAAAACGACGAAAAGACAAATAACAGTACACTTAACACAACATAAGAAAAAATAAAGGCTAAGCAACACAAACGCCACCAAATCCGGTGGTGATCTCAGGTCCTACTGAAGGGTAAGCAGAACCTGCTCCACATGTGGCACCCATCGTGTTGCTCGAGTAAGTATAAACCCAGTGATAAGTCTAATTCGTTTAGTCACATTCAAGATTGTGGTTACAACAAGTGGAACATATCCGTCTTCATCTGTGAAACAGATATTCCATAACGGAGCAAACAACTCATAATAATCTAAGACAGGACATACAACACAATCAACAATGAACAATATAAACTGCACTGATATTATACTTTTTAGGTCCTCAGCATATGATGTTATGCGAACGAATGATTTTGAAAAGTTGTCCTTTTGACACGGTCTTTCAGGTTATATCTGTAACTTAAACAGGAAGTGCTTACTCTTCCTGAGTTCATTTCTTGTTTTGTTTAAGGTATAGAACCACTTATTCAGGCCCGGTCTTAAAGAACATACAAGAAAGTGTTACATATCTTAAACAAAATAGTTCCTACGCATAGCTGTATCTTTGTCAATAGGTGAAATATTTGTGTAGTTGTGGTATCAAATAGAAGCTATGGGACTTGGGATCACTGTAGAACCCTTGTTAAAAGTTTCTTTTGATTAATACAGAAGTATATAAAATTATAATGGGAGGGCACATTTGCCCTGTTGTTCAGATCAGAAGTACCGGTTTTTGTACAATCAAACTTCCGGGAACCAGTACACTCTAATAAGCAATTAAAGGTATGTTAAATTATTGACTAGAATTAATTTTGCTCGTCTAATTTTCATAAATTTAAAAAAAAAATATCTACTGACCCTTTGACAAAAATTTTAAAGAAATCTTGAACCGCATACTTTATCGGAAAGTTTCTTTGGATATATAGTAGTTTGACAAACACTCATTGTTGCTTATTCTTTAGTTTTTTATGTTGTGTCATCTGTACTATTATTTGTCTGTTTGTCTTTTTATTTTTGGCCATGGCGTTGTCAGTTTGTTTTTCGATCTATGAGTTTGACTGTCCCTCTGGTATTTTTCGTCCCTCTTTTGATCATTGAGAAGTTAAATAATTCCTTAACAATAGAACGTGATTAAAACGTTCAGCTGTTTTTACAGAGTTATCTCCCTGTAGTGTTATGTACCACCATAAAGCGAAAACAAACTGATAATACCATGACAAAAAAATGAAAAACGACGAAAAGACAAACAACAGTACACTTAACACAACATAAGAAAAAATAAAGGCTAAGCAACACAAACGCCACCAAAACCGGTGGTGATCTCAGGTCCTACTGAAGGGTAAGCAGAACCTGCTCCACATGTGGCAACCATCGTGTTGCTCGAGTAAGTATAAACCCAGTGATAAATCTAATTCGTTTAGTCACATTCAAGATTGTGGTTACAACAATTGGAACATATCCGTCTTCATTTGTGAAACAGATATTCCATAACGGAAAAAACAACTCATAATAATCTAAGACAGGACATACAACACAATCAACAATGAACAATATAAACTGCACTGATATTTAACTTTTTAGGTCCTCAGCATATGATGTTATGCGAACGAATGATTTTGAAAAGTTGTCCTTTTGACATGGTCTTTAAGGTTATATCTGTAACTTAAACAGGAAGTGCTTACTCTTCCTGAGTTCATTTCTTGTTTTGTTTAAGGTATAGAACCACTAATTCAGGCCCGGTCAGAAAGAACATACAATAAAGTAGTACATATCTAAAACAAAATAGTTCCTCCGCATAGCTGTAACTTTGTCAATAGGTGAAATATTTGTGTAGTTTTGGTATCAAATAGAAGCTATGGGACTTGGAATCACTGTAGAACCCTTGTTAAAAGTTTCTTTTGATTAATAAAGAAGTATATAAAATTATAAAGGGAGGGCACATTTGCCCTGTTGTTCAGATCAGAAGTACCGGTTTTTGTACAATCAAACTTCCGGGAACCAGTACGCTCTAATAAGCATTTAAAGGTATGTTGAATTTTATCTCTTTTCTTGTCTGTTTGGCTGGGATTGTATCACTTATGGTTTTTAATTGCGCTCTTTGTATCTTCACCCTTTTTTCTATATTTTTTCAGTGTATATAACCACATGTAGGAAAATGGAAAACATGGAAAAACAAATGTATTAAAAATCATCAAGTCAGTAGGTTTTGTGTATCAATTGGTACATGCCATGCCCGAAATCAAAAGAGACAAAAACACTATCAATTAATATAATTATAATTTTACCCTCATATTATATACATGATTTATAAGCTAGTTAAAATTCACTCTATAATTTCTATAATGATAAAATTATATAAATATCTTATAAATTATAAAAAACAACCATAACTTTGTAACATTCATTCTTGCTTATTCTCACATGATAATATGAAGAAAGTACTATCATTAGATGGTACTGTAAAATGTGAAATTATTACACTGATTTAATTAATGCGAAAAAATGTGACAGTTTCAGGTTTGCAATAATATAAACTCCAATTGATAATTTCTGTAGTGACCTTCCTTCATATACTTTTAGCAATCACATTAATTAGATCTCACATTTTACCAGTAATCAGTGATTTGCAATAATAAATGCACCCACTAATTTCTGAATTTACAGTACTTGTTCTAGGAAGGAAAATTAAACTGACCAAAATTAACTCATTGAGACTGTTAATTGAATACGTATTAAATGTCAAATAATTTTTTAAATACATAAAGTAACTGAAAAGTCAACAAGTAAAACTGCAAATTTTTCTACAGTAAAATTGTATATGTTGACATGGGAAGGCAACTTTCTAGGTACATGAAGTGATTGTAAAAATCTGGCATACACATTGTCCATTGTCATGTTTTACAAATGAGAAACTAACACATATACATTGTTTTTATCCCTGTTTTACTGCAATAGTGACCTTAATGTTGTTTATTTCTAGAGTTCATTATCTACCTCAAATCAGATCCTGTGATTAAAAATTACACTTCAAACTTATTCATGGCCATTTGAATCTATTTATAAAAAGAAAACAAAAATTGTTACGAAAATTAAAAAAACCAATATATATAACTTTTTGAAAATATCTGTTTACATATGAGAGTTGGGGATCACTGGCTAAGTGGTCTAATTTGCAGGTAACCTTTGAAGTTGTGAGTTCCACACTCCAGCGAGGTGAGTTCAACTCCAATCTCAAATGACAAGGATTTCCATCTTAAGGTCAGTGGGTCTTTCCAGAGTATTCTGGTTTCCTCCACCAAAACAAACATGGCAGACAAGGAAGTTGAAAGAAAAACATTAAATACCAACAGACAAACAAACCAAAGGTTTACGTATGTGAACCTTGTTTCAATTTGTCCTTCTTTAAAATATGTGTTGTGAATGTAGGAGATGTATGAAGTAACTTGACATGCAGATATTGTTTCTATTGAAATAAGTCCTAAAGGCTCTAAATTTCTGAGTATTACCAAAAACAAGATATAATTCAAAAAGACAGCTACCAAACAAAAAAATATATAGAAAAGGGTGTCTTATAAATATACATTCAACATCATGTCTTGCATGTGTACTAACAAAGTTTATTGCTTACAATAACTAAATATTATCACATTACACAGAAGTTACATCAGATTCTGTAATTTTGATTGGCTAAGGCATTTCTAAAGTTATATTTTATTTTTGTATACAAAAAATGCTTCAGTCAAAACTTATAGCACCTCAATAAAATTACAAAAAAGAAGCATTCAATTCTTAAATAAAAGTCTCATTCATACAATAAACAGCATATATATTCATAGCACCCATGCATTTCAGTTCCTGAATTACTTATAATATAATCTTCTATTTTTGTTTCCGATTGATTATTGATTGATCATTTATCATCATTTGAATGTCAAATGGCAGCTATTTTGACCCAATATACACATAGGTTCTTAGTATGTTAACTAATTGATCAACTTGATATTTATACATGCCACTGATAAAGGGGGTGTTTAAAACCTGATAGATACATGGTAGATTAAAACATTTACAAGATCTACTTTCAGATATAATTTAATGAAGCTATGAACAGAATTTTTCAAAGGTAATAGGTGGTTTTCTTGTGACATTAAGTCCTAGAGAAAATTATCCTTTACCGGAAAGAACAAAATTTTGTGGACTATTGATAATAATAAACTAAAAATTTCAAAAAATTGTATCGGACATTCAGTCCAATTAAAAACCTTGATGGTTGGATAGGTGTCCTTAGTGACCTTTGTATGAAGGTATATACGTAAGCCCTTCATTTTCGGGAATAGTGTCTTGTCATGTATATCTACAAGCTCTAAGAATAAAAACTTAAATTTTACATGTTATATATGTAGAAAACTTAAACAACATTTTAAAACATTAACACTTCAGTTAACATTAAAAACAATGAATGCTATAAACAATATATCTAAAGAGCTAACATCAACATCATTTGGATTCGGTGGACAGTTGTCATATTGGCTCGTCTAACTGAAACACTTATTTCAATGTATGGTAGGCTGTCACTGACATAAATAATACATGTATGAATATTTGCACAATACGTCTTCTTTTCTATAAAATGATCTTGAACATTCAAAATATAGATCTATCAGCATGTAGCTTTAATCATTATAATGTATGGAGGGCTATCAATAACACAGTATTTAAATGTATGGAGGGCTATCAGTAACATAGTATTTAAATGTATGGAAAGTCAAGAGCAGCAACCTTTCTTTTCTGTCAAAGAGGAATCTTTTGGCCCATTTAATATTATTCTATCAGTTTCTGCTTCATCTTTGGCTATTGCTTCGTCATTCTGTAGAATCTGAAAAATATTTATTAGAACTTAATAAAAATGAATGTGTGAATGTGTGAATGTGGTAGATTCTTAGCTAGCCTTATCCTTTAAATTCATGATCCGCTATATACTGTAAATTCAGTAATTATTGCAAGGTTTTTATTAATGTGAATAATGCGACTGTGTGAGTATTGCAATAATAAGAACTCGCATTTTGATATCTGATACTTATATCTGTTTGCATTTTTTCTTGAAATTGCAATAATTATTCCCGCATTTTTATCAATTCGCAAGGATAAAAGCATGCAATAATTTCTGATTTTACAGTATTTGAAGTCTTCTCACTGAATATTTCAAAGTTTGATGACTATTTTGCAGACTTCCCGAAACTTCAATTTTTTATTGTTAGACCAGGGACTAATAGGTTGTAAACTTTTGCTGATCCTTCAAAAAATTTGGTGGTCATTCCATTTTAATTGAAAGGTTTGCTCTTTCCGTTTTTCTTTTCATATATAAATTAATTTGGTTTTTGCTTTCATTTCAGTCAATCAATTAAAGTTGCTTTCCTGAAATTCAAGGCAACTCCCCTTTAGCAATGAATGCAAACATAATGGGCTACGTCATTGCGTTTAAATTCAACTGGTTCCAAAAATTACAATTTCAGTTACTATAATAAAGGTAGAAACTGTAACCCAGTATCTCATGATTTGAACAAATTTTCAAAGTGCAACAACGTTTAGCAACGAACTTTAAAGTCTGTTAAAACACTCTGAAAATCAGACTTGCACCAAATGTTAAAGTGCCTGACCTAATGTAATTTTGGTAATCAGGACAGTTTTCGCGAACTCAGATGTTGAACGCCTCATGTCTATCCCATCTAATTTGAAATAAAGGATACACCAGGTACAGTTAAGTCTGCCACATATCTTGACTTGCATCTAGAATTTGACAATGAGGGACGGTTGACAATGAGGGTCGGTTGACAATGAGGGTCGGATGACAATGAGGGTTGGTTGACAATGATGGTCAGTTGACAATGAGGGTCGGTTGACAATGAGGGTTGGTTGACAATGAGGGTCGGTTGCATATTGTACTGTGGATTCATCTATTTTTGTGAATACCACTTTTTCGTGGATTGAGGGGAAATTTAATTTTCAAGAATATTTGATTTTGAGGTTTCGCCAAAGTCTGCATATATGCCTATAAAATATTGAAACTTCATCAAACATTCAAACTTATTGTGAACCTTTACCCAAGAAATCTCCGAAAACTGGTATCCAACAAATAATAATGAATTCACAGTATCTGACCACAAAAATGTCACCTCAATCACTGATTCTTGAAATGAAATCACCGTTAGTTGAACTCATTCCGATGGACATTAAACATGGCAATAATTCCAGTGAAAACAAATTTTTTTTCAACAAAAATAGAAATAAACTTTATTTTCAACAGGCAAATAAGAAAAAATTAAAAATTATAGAATAATAGGAACCAATATCTTTTATTTTACATTCTGAGTAGAAAAGATTGATACTTAAATTTGAATCTGATAATTTTCCACTCCTGAAATGTTCCCTGTAAATGGCACAAATCAGATAAAGTATATTGTTTTCAACAAAACTCAACCAACAATAGGTAGAAACAAGAATATGTGTTCATATGACACCATGATTATTATATTTCAATGTTCAATGAACTGTGAAATCTGTGTCACACCCTAATTTTTAATGAACATTAAATAATTCATTTCATAATGATCATGTGTATTAAGTTTCAAGATGATGTGACCACAAACTACTTTAAACCAGATTATAACTTGATATGGGACAGACGTACAGACTCGAAAACAATATAGCACTCAACAATTTAAGTAGGGGTTTTAAACACATCAAAGAAATTCTTACCCTAGTCACAAGGAATCGAGCTGCTTCATCTATATTTATATTTTCCTTTGCTGACGTCTCAAACCATCCAACAAAACCTTTTTCTTTACAGAAATCATCCATCTGAGACACGTTGTTTACTAATCCTTCTTTGGCTTGATCACACTGACAAATAGAAGTGATACGGCAAGATAAATTAACATGTACAATGAAAATAGAAAAGTACCATTTTAATGTAAAAAATACATAACATCAACTTCAATACTTTACCGCAAGAAGGTTACATATACTTGTTTTACCAGAGGCCCTTCTAATGCATATTTCAGTTTGTTTAAAAAACAAAGTTCCCATACCTGTACATGGCAGTATTAACAAATTATAAGTTAAATAACAGTAACATCAAGGTTGCATAAGTCATTTGGGATCTTTATAGATTTTTAGTAGAAGAAAACGTTTTTTTATCCTAAGCATATAACTAAAGTCTTAAACAGGTCTTAATATATAATCAGGTTATATTTTACCCTCCAAACAGGCCTTTACATCAAAATTTTAGTTATATTAATTGCAATGGTTTTAGGGCTAACAACTGATAGGTATGAGCTAACTTTCCTTGAAAACATATCCCATTTTAATATGCGCATAAGACACTGTAACTAAGTGGTTATGGTTTGTTGCTGTATAACATATTTTTTAAACTTACTTTATTTACCAATAACACACAACATACAGGTGACAAGATCCCTGGCAAGGAACATAACTCATTTTATTTACCAAAAACACACAAGGATCAGGTGACAAGATCCATGGCAGGGGATATAACTTACTTTATTTGTCAGTAAAACACATGGTACAGCTGACAATATCCCTGACAGGGGACATAACTTACTTTATTTGCCAGTAAAATACATGGTACAATTGACAATATCCCTGACAGGGGACATAACTTACTTTATTTGCCAGTAAAACACATGGTACAGGTGACAAGATCCCAGACAGGGGACATAACTTACTTTATTTGCAAGTAAAACACATGGTACAGGTGACAAGATCCCTGCCAGGGGACATAACTTATGTTATTTGCCAGTAAAACACATGGTACAGTTGACAATATCCCTGACAGGGGACATAACTTACTTTATTTGCCAGTAAAACACATGGTACAGGTGACAATATCCCTCACAGGGGACATAACTTACTTTATTTGCAAGTAAAACACATGGTACAGTTGACAATATCCCTGACAGGGGACATAACTTACGTTATTTGCCAGTAAAACACATGGTACAGTTGACAATATCCCTGACAGGGGACATAACTTACTTTATTTGCCAGTAAAACACATGGTACAGGTGACAATATCCCTGATAGGGGACATAACTTACTTTATTTGCCAGTAAAACACATGGTACAGTTGACAATATCCCTGACAGGGGACATAACTTACGTTATTTGCCAGTAAAACACATGGTACAGTTGACAATATCCCTGACAGGGGACATAACTTACTTTATTTGCCAGTAAAACACATGGTACAGGTGTTGAATCTGATAGTGTTACTTTACTATCTAAATCTGCTTTCCATTTAGTGACAGCTTCAAATGTTGATGCTCTTGTAACATCAAAAACAATAAAACATCCAACGGCTTCCTTGTAATAAACACGGGTCATGTTACCAAATCGTTCTTGACCTGAAAAAGTGCCACGTAAAAGGTCAATATTTCACTATTTTAAAAAAATTGTCATTCTGCATCAAAATCCAGTGGTGGGGTTTGTGTTGCTCAGTCATTAATTTTCTATGTTGTGTTTTGTGTACTGTTGTTTGTCTGTTTGTCTTTTTCTTTTTTAACCATAGTGTTGTCAGTTTATTTTTGACTTATGAGTTTGAATGTCCCTTTGGTATCTTTTGCCTCTCTTTTACAATTAGAGTATTGACAATTTTCATACTGCATTTGTACTTTGATGAGCAGTGTTACATGTGGAGCAGCTGCTGCTTATTCTTCTAGAGCACCGGAGTCGACCCCCAGGTTTTTGTGGGGCTTTTGTTGCTCTTTTTGCTCAATATTTTGTTTTCTATGTAGTGTTTTCTGGACTTGTGATCTTTTCATGTTTTTTTCATTTTTTTCATTTTTTTGCCATGGCATTGTCTGTTTGAGGCTGGCTAGGCCTTATGTGACTTCTGGCGCGAAGAGAACTAAGGTTAAGGGTTAAGGTAATGTTATGACTTATGAGCACTGAATGTCCCCTTGGTATCTTCACCGCAGCTTCATCTTTTTCATGATTAACATTAATGTTTTCTAAGAAAAATAATAAAATTTGAGCAGAGACCTATATACTGTTCACTCTTTTTCCTAGTTATCCAGTAACCCACCCTTTTCATATATTTAAAAAAAAAAACAATAATTACTCTTCTTTTTTTGCCACTTTTCACAGTATACTCCTCTAAATTGATGTTCCTTTGTAAAAAGATTAAATCTAAGGCAAATTGAATGCAAAGATATATAAGAATATTACTTTCATGACCTGCATTTTCATTTTCAGAGGTTGACATTTATTATAAATCATACCCTATCATATATTCTTTTTACAAATTACCTAAAGCTATATTGCACTTTTCTATGGAGAGCAAAAATGAATTTGTCATATAATCTAGTGCATTTATAACTGTGGTTTTAAAGATCTTTGCTTCTCTTGTTTTTAACTTTTTGTCATATATTCAGAATACTCTAGTTTTATCCATGTAGTGCCAATAAAATTATGACCTTACACTAATCCGTACTTTTCTTTTCATAGTTTTATTACATATGGTTTTAAAAGCCTTTTTTGAAAATCTTGTAAAATCCTTGTTATTTTTTCATAGTTTTTGAAAGAAAAGAGGTGCCAATGTTAAATGTATGAAAAATCTAGAGAAAATCATTTTCCCGAGAGGAGCGAACATCCTTAATAGCATCTTTCAAAAATTCTTAGCATTTCAGATATCGTACTTATCTCCCTTAAAATATAAATTCTGTGCAAAGACAATTGTACTGTTTTCAGGTGAGTACGATACGTACTTGAAAAGGAGGTGCGGATCATACACAAATGCAGAATATATACTATATATTAATCACATACCTGCAATATCCCATAACTGTAACCTGACAACTGTATCAGCATCCCAATTTAATACCTTTAATGCAAAATCTACACCTATCTATAGTCTCAGTTAGGGAAACCAATGTAGCAAAATAAATCAATTCAAATCAGAACTAATGCAATTTAAAATCACTCCTGGTAGTCATTTTTCACAGTGAAATAACAGTAGAATAATGATTATTCAAAACAGGAGCCTGTAATTCAGTGGATGTTGTTTGTTCCTGTATCTCACATTTGTTTTTCATTTATTGTTTTGTACATGATCAGGCTGTTATTTTTCCTGTTTGAATTATCTAACATTTGTCATTTCTGGGCCTTTTGTAGCTTGCTATTTGGTATGAGCTTTGCTTATTGTTGAAGGCCCTAAGTGACCTATAGTTGCTAACCTTATGTGGTCTCTGGTGGAGAGTTGTCTCAATAGCAATCATAACACATCTTCTTAATTTTATATTCACAATGATCTCTCTCTCTCTACATATATATATATATCATTGGCAATAATTCTAAGTTAGAAATTTTCACCAGGGTTTAGTTTAGTTTACTTCATGATTAAGATAAAATTGTGATAATAAGTCTTGGTTTACGAAACTCTATATATTTCAACACATTTGCGACATGGTCATCCACCCCAAAAACTCTTACAGCTGTTATGTTTATAAAAGGATACAGTAGCTCTGTAATGCTGAGAAAAGAACTGATGAACGTATCGTTTGATGATGCTGGTTTTTCCCGTTCCGAGTTCCCCGATCACTAGGATCTTGTATAAGTGCTCTTTTTTCTCCACTGCAGCTGCCTGTAAGAAATCATAATATTTTAAAATCAACGTCAAAATTGTCCTGAAGGATGTACTTAAATCTAGAATTTAAAATTGATAGTATAGGTTGGAAGAGCAATAGTTAAGGAACAGAATAAGCTAAAAATATTGATAGGTTATGGAGCTCCTTTTCGAGATATTTGATTTTTTTAAAATGGCGGGGAAAGGCTGACTCAGACTTTTAACTTATATTTGCATTGATATTATTTGGGTCTCAAATCGAAAGAAAAGAAATCTAGAATCTGCTTAAATTTTGGTAAATTACCTTTTATGAGCTATTGAAGTCTTAAATGAAAAGAAAAATGGGTGTTATGGGGCAAAATATTTTACCCTGTACAGAAGGAAAAAAACCAAGGAGTCCGAACATCTGACACAAATTCCTAAACCTCACCTAAGTACATCCTTAAATTCGAAAGAATATACAATAAAATATTTATGAATTGATACTGTGAATTCATTTTATTTTAGTGAATTGAGGATACTCTATTCCTTGGGTATCACAAATTCTGCATATATGTACATCATGTACATGATGTATGTAGAAAATTTGTGATTCTTTGAATATTTCAATTGATCAATGTTTACTGGTTCACCATTACCTATAATTCAAAACAAGTATCTAGCAAAAATAGAATTCACAGTACATCAATTTTCCTAAAAATCAACAAATACCTGAAAAATTGATGTATTTTAATTCTTAAGTCAGTAAATCAAATTTTTTTGTAAAATTGTTTGTTTTTTTTTAAGAAAATAAATATATTTTTCTAGGTTAAATTTAGGTACCAACATAAAGTTTATTCTGGACAAGTAACCAGATGTATAAATTTTATGAATTATCAAAGTTTCAAAATAATAAAACAAACAATATATCAATGGTGTACAAAAAGAAGTATTTGATGAGGAATACAATGAATTTGACAGCAACTTTATATCTATACTTACACACATTTGTAGAGAAACAAGTTTATATTTAACACGACAGTCACATGATGTACTGTCAGTAGCGGTCAAGAGTTCCTGCAGCTTGGGAGGCATTGATTAGACAAACAAGAGAGCATTTATAATGAAGTATACGGGCTCCTCTGATACAGACCATTTATACATCTAATTTCATACATTCGTGTGAATCCTGATTGTCAATTAATTACTGACCACAATATTTCAACATTGTGTAATTAGTATTGTACATGATGATGATTCTATTGAAATTTAAATATTTTCTTACCAGTAGGAAAGATAACTGTCTTAGCTACAATGATTTCAGATTTTTAATAGCTTAGGTCATGTAGGCCAAATAACAAAAATATTTGTTTTGAATTTCCTCGCCTTAACTACAGGCCTCTTTATGATACCCTACAGAGTTTAAAAAGTTTTTTTTGTACTTTTGTTTGTGTTTTATGGCAAAATTGCAGGTCTACCAACCAAATCAAGGTTTAAAAACATTAAACAAAATACAAAAGAATTCCTACTGAACACACACATTTTGTTTGTTTGGCCTTTTAATATGTTTAATATTTAAATCAAATTTAAGTGACCAAGGGCTTAAAAAGTCGATGTTGACCTGGAGTTTTTACATCCTAGTCCCTATGGTCTTTACATTGGAGGTCAGGCTTCGTTACACATCTCCCTATTGTCATATGTACATATAATACAATGATTATAGATTTAATGAAGTTGACCTTTAGATAACCTTTAGTAGGATCTCAGAAACTGACCTTGTAATCACAAAATTTCATTTTGATCAAACAAACACAAAAATGATTTCAATTAACACGAGGCTACTTTAGCCAGATACAAATGTGCATCTTACAATAATTATCATAAGACAAATATTATAAGTCAACTTATACCTTTAGTATCTGAATACTTTATCATGTATATCCTAAAAACAAAAACCTAATTGTGATTTCATGAAGTTCTTGTAGCATGAGGATAATAAATTAAACAAACTCTGTATTGAAAGTTGTAGGGGATATATGCTTCACATAGTCGACAGAGTTTCGACACTAACGGTAGTGCGATAGCCCTGTTCCCTCCTATTTTTATAGAGGACTACAAACATTGTCACTTAATTAATTAACTATAGTCATTCTGACTACTTGATCATGTTGATAAGACTAAGAATCAGACAAATTCATTTAATTCATCCTGATTATTTTTATTCTTGTAGGACAAATTGCTTAAAGGTTGAAATAAGAGACAATGGCTAACCTTTCAGGAGCAATACTTATACAACTGTCTTTTATTTACTGGTAGAAGTAAATAATTTTGGATTTATCTCCCTTAATCTTTTAAAGGACAGTTATTTGTTTCTCTCCTTTAATAGAGTGTTTAATAGTCTGTATGTCAAAAATGTTTTACTATTCTAGAAAGTATTATAATTTCATGGACAAAGAACATCATATACTTTGTCTAAATATTAAAATTCATTTGGTCTTTTCACGGGAAATTATTTAATCTAGTAAGTAGTTAATACTCATTAACATAAATAGTTGTTGAAACTTTTAACCAGTTATACACAAATATTTTGGGTAAACCATCAATTATGAATTTGAAGCATATACAAAGTAAAAATTCTGTAAACCCATATATATACTTTATTGATGTCATAAATAAAACTCTAATAAAACGCATTGTTAACATTATATTGAACGAGGTGATATATGGCCAGTGACTGTATATCACAAATTATAATATACTGTCAATCCAATTTGACTGTGCAAATACATGTAGCACAGTTGCAGTATATACATTGGAAGTCTCTGGGGACGAATAAATTCAAAAGATACAGTAAGTACATTTTCCGTAGAAAGACTATTAACTGGTTTTACTTCTGAGTTCTTCCAAAGACATCTAATCTTACTTTTATTACATAGTATTGTGATGATTCAATCCATCCATTTTGGTTGGTTGGTAAATCACAATTATACAACACAGTACTCGTGGTACTTAGGTCACTGTATACATCCATTATATTCACTATCCAATGAAATTCTTATTTTTCTTATTTAAAAACACAGTACTCACTAGTCATTGTATCTAATAATTTTGATTGTTTATTTTATATCTAATGATTAAATAATTCAACCCACTTAAACATGTTAAACTTTATAAAAAAAAAAGTAATTTAAGAAATTCCATTTGACAGTATATATACATAATATATATAGCTGTCTGATTGTCAATCATACCACATCTTCTGATCTTTATATAGCAATAAAGTTAAATGAACAAAGTACTAAAGTGACATCCTGGTTTATCTCCCTTGCAGAAAATAATCCTAGCAATTTTTTAATCACATGATATCCTTGGACTATATCATTGATATTTTTGAAAAACTTTTGCCTCAAAATTCATAGGTGAATGAAATCCTGGAAACAAGCACAGGATTATTTGGCAAAATATCTTCAGACTAAAATTATAAATCTGTTTTAAGAGAACATGCATAAAATATTTGCCACTGGATACAAAGCAAAAAAAACAATCAATCAATATAAAAAATTGTTTTCAAGAGAATGGACATTTCTCATTGGAAAAGTCAGGACCTACAGAAAAAATCTTTTCAAGAGACCCTTCACTTTACAGATTACATTAGGACTCTTTCTAAAATCTGAGACTTTAAAATTAAACTGTTTACAGAATGTCCCTATCTTTTATTTATCTTTATAATTCATTTATTCAATCTTTTGTCCATTGATTTTCATGTATTTTGCCTTGTTTTTTGTTGGGGTTTTTCCTTTATCATTTGATCAATTTGGAAAAAATATCTTTTATTTCACAAACATCTGGTCCCTCGGTCATAAAACTTTACTCAGTACTCGGAGGCTCGAAACACCAAATCCAGTGCTTTGATTGGTCGATTTCTGAGTCTGAGGCCATTAATTGTACTCGAAAGTTTTATGACCAGAAGGCCTGTAAGTGTTGACCTTCACATATATACATATTCTATAAATAATGTACAGTTATACATCTTTTATATATTTTTTTGTTTTATTCTTATTTATAGTTTCCTTTATCATTCATTAATTCCTTTTAATTCCATTGATTTTTCATTTATTTTGCTTTGTTTAGAAAAATTTGCATTTGTAATGTGTCTTGTTGACCTAATGTCATTATCTATGAATATTATGTACAGTATTGCCATTCAAGATTAGTGATAGATTTTAAGATCAGGATGTTATTGTCATCTAACATGTCTAATCTCTATGTGAGTCATCTGTCAATGCAAAATCTCATATATAGTTATCATGGTTACATTGGATTGAATTAAAATGAAGGGTAGCCAGATGTGGATTCAGATGGGGTGCATCCAGCCCTCACCCCCTAAAAAAGACAAAACTTATGGAAATTTACAGCCAATTTTGGTTCAAAATATTAGGTCCTAAAATTCCCTTTTCTCAGGATAATGCCTAATATAGACCCTGAGATTTAACATGGATTGACTAAATGTCTGCCAGAATCTCACTTTACTTGATAGTTACTGTAATAAAGTTTAAGAGGGTTGATATGAGGCACAATGGAGACCTTTCAGGTATTAACTTAACTCTGAGTACTCAGGGTACAAAATTGTGTATGAAAAACACCAAAATCAAGTTATTCAATTGATTGATGTCTTAGTACAAAAATAGTACTCAAAATGTTTATGATCATGAAGCCTGATATGACAATGAATGATCAAGTTTTGCTAAAAATAACATTAACAACAAGTAGTTGATGCTAGTTGATGCTAACAGTACTTAGGCCAAATACAATTAAATATGTGGTCTTGGTTACATGAGGGGCCTGATGAGGGGGTCTCATGACGATTCATGAGTTGATTTTTTTGTCAATCACGATTCACAGAAAATAAATTTCCATGATCACGGATCACGAAAATATAAAAAAAAAAATCTGTAGAAAAACGGATCACGATAGCGAAAATGCGCCGATCACGAAGAACGAAAATAACCCATCAGGCCCCTCTTACATTGTTCGAAAAA